TACTTACGCTGAAGGAACTATGCACAAATGGATTAAATGCAAAACTGTCATATTCGACATCGAGTGGACCCACTCTCCTTTTTTTCGGTTTTTCTATCCATGCGTTGAAGTCTTTTTTGAAGTCTCTTTGGAGTGGAGTTCAGCAAATTGGACATATACATATGCCAAGGGAACTATGTACAAATTGATTAAATGCAAAACTGTCATATTCGACATCGAGAGGACCCACTCTCCTTTTTTTCGGTTTTTCTATCCATGCGTTGAAGTCTTTTTCAACGGATGGAATAGAGCTCAGCAAATAATTGGACGTAGTTATGCTGAGGGTATACTGTATAAATGAATCAAATGAAAAACTGTCATATTGAACTCCGAGACAAAACATTTGTCATGACCGTTATTTATGAAAATTCAGTTTTTACTGAGGTATCAGCCATTGGTTTTTTGAGTACGGATTTGTCCATACGAGCGAGTAACTCTAGAGCGAGTAACTTTGCCCACACCCAACTCTCCTCAATTGTTAATCCTCAAATTACGCGCTCGTATGGAGAAATCCATACCCAAAAGACCAATGGCTGATACCTCAGTAAAAACTGCATTTTTCGAACTCCGGGTGGACCAATTTTCGTTTTTGTTTTTCCTATTTATTGTGCATTGAGGTCTTTTTCGAAGGATGGAACGGATGCAAATTCGACGTACTTATTCTAAGGGAACTATGCACAGATGAATTAAATAAAATACCGTCATATATTCGACTCCGAAGGACCAGTTTTCTTGGTTTTTCTTCCTATCCTTGCGTTGAAGTCTTTTTCGACGGATGAGATGAGGTTCAGTAAACATGACGTACACATGCTGAGGGAACTATGCACAAATGAATTAAATAAAAACAAACTGTCTCGCCTAAATTGCAAAGAAAACGTAAATGTTTAATCGAAACTAAAATTCGTCGCTTTAAAATAATCTGAACAAATATACGAGTGTTTTGAAAAACGCAGGATTCATTCGAAGAAACTTTCCGCTCAAACGCAACTGACTTCATTTCTCAGAACTTCAGTTTGCTTTTACTGTTCCAAACTTCCAATGCAGATAACCGCATGTTCAGTGCCATTCAAATATTCCTGAGGGGGGAGGGGTGCACTGGTAAAAAAAACCTCTTGGACCAATGCCGCGGTGCATTGACTCAAGAGTGCAGTTTCTTGTCGCCGGATTTAAGAGTCTTGAACTCTTGTTTCAAGCGGATTTTGCATTGATTCAATTCAAAATCCGCTTGAAACAAGAGCCCAGACTCTTAAATCCGGCGACAAGAAACTGCACTCTTGAACCAAGAGGTTTTTTTTACCAGTGCAGGGGGATTTTTCACCAGAATTTTTCACCGAAGAAACTCTGAACACCGAACAGAGACGCTCATTTTAACTTGAACATTTTCGAACGCCGCTTTCATCCCGCAACAATGGAGCAGATAAAAGCGGATTAAGGGAACCGAAAGAGAGAATGCACTCGTAGTGCACATGGGAGAACAATTATACACGATGCTACAATACGCATACTCATGAACGACGCCCGGTGACCAGTTAAATTTAAAACTGGGTTATCGGGTCGGCGCGAGATGTGTGTTGGTGAATCCTTACGCACGAGTAGATGATAGGTCGGCTGGGTACATGGCAAAGAGTAAAAGTAAATACCTGTTTGCCGACTGCTTTCGCCTTCGGTTCTAGTCCGTGATTTTTTTCATTGATTCTATCCACAGCTTGTTGCCAGAATTAGACCACAGTTACTGCCGTGCCAAGGAAAAACGCCGTACACTGGGAAAAAAAGAATCTTAAATTTGCCGCCAAGAAGTATTTCTTCTTAAATCAAGAATTTTTCTGGTTAATATATGCTACTTTCTTGCTTAACCCAAGCATTATTTTTCTTGTATTAAGAAATTGTCAGCTTAAAGCAAGAAAAAAAAATTTCTTGGCGGCAAATTCAAGAATCATCATGTTTGATCCAAGCTACTTTTTTTTCAGTGTACGAGCCTTTAGGCGTTGCCAAATTTCCTTTAATAAATCATGCATTTTTGGAAAAATTTTAAATATTTTTCTTCCAATTTTTCAGATAATTTTGTTTGCAATTCTGCCTAAAGTTCTTAAAAATTCACCGGAAAAAAATCATGACTTTCCATAAAAATAAACATTTTATCGAGTGAAATTTGGCAACCTTCGAACGTTCATACGGGCGTTTTTCCTTTGCGCGGTAGCACAGGACCAGCTCTACATTTTTGGAAGGGTTCCTTGGAAGATGGCAACACTGGCCTTCGCTCATTGAAATGCATGTAAAGTAAACGGTATCTAAGAAAAACTACCTTACGCAGAATCGATTCTTTGTAATGGATTTAAATGGAAGAAATACAGCAATGGAGAGGCGTGAATGTTCGATTATAGATATTTTCCCATTCGAAGCTATGGTCAAGAATCGATTATTAAGGTGTTCGTTGCGAACACCCTGTATCCTTCTCCGTAGGTTTAAATGGCAGATCAATCGATATGTCACAAAGCACGCCACGGCACTGATATACACTGGTGTCAACTCGTGAGAATCGTCATCGTCCATTCTGCTGTTTGAGACAAAGCAACAACCAAAAGATTTCTCCTTTCAAAAATGTGCACTATATTCCCAGAGAAAATTAATAGCCTAAGTCGAAATTTAAGTGCCTCTGGCAGTTATTTGACGACACCTCGTAATTTTTCGGCTTAGAACGTATAGATTATAACATTTACTGTTCATTTTACTATTTAGATTACCGTGTAACAAAATTTATCTATTTGGCCAGGGCCGGATTCACCTACTTGCCGCCCCCATCTCATTCGTTTTGAAACTCAATAAAAACCATCAAGGGAGCGTGCCAGCNGGGGGGGGGGGGGGAGTGCATAAGACGCATTTACTCGTGTTGAACACATTTTTTGGGAAAACCCTGTCAACACTACTAGCATGAGTTCACAGAAATTTGCGCGAAAGTTAAGTTTCGTAAACCTATCTCTGTGTGGACAAGGCCTTCCATTCTTAAGAAATGAACGAAAAAATTATGAAAGAACAAACATAAATGTGGTTCAATGATTTTAACTTCCGCCGCCGCGCCACGCCGCGCAGACCGCACCGTGTTTGGCGCAATGCGTGAAGTATTCCTACAGTCTTGTAGGCGCTATGCATTTCACGCCGACCGCTGCTGAACGCACTGTGTTGGACGCAATGCGTGAAGTATTCACGCAGTCTTGTAGGCGCCATGCGTTTCACGCTGCTCGCACTGTGTTTGGCGCAATGCGTGAAGTATTCATGCATTCTTGTAGGCGCCAATATGTGTTACATGCCGATCGCAGCGCCGAGGGCTTCTCCTTTTCATCTCAAGTCCTCGTCATCATTTCCCTCTAAGTTCCGCCGTTCCAGGCCAAATTGCGTGTTTGGTTTCTCTCTTAACTCGACTAATTAAAGGTGCTGTCTCTTGTATCACTCAGAGACGATAAAATTAGAAATTACTATACTCTCAGGAAAAGAGAGATTTTTCGCCTTTTCTCGTTTGTAAATTTTTTTCTGAAGCAGATTTTTTTCTTGACACCTACATTTGAAAAAATTACAACATTTGCCGCCCCTAAATTTGCCGCCATGGGCCGCGGCCCATGTGGCCACCCCCTTAATCCGGCCCTGTATTTGGCAATGGATCATATCGACGGTGAAACTACCAAACCACGTATCTCGTTTGCGGTGTTTAAAAATCTACGCCCGCATTTTATTTTTTTGACGTAGACCAAATCAATATCATTCCTTGAAATTTTCACAGAATTTTCTCCGCACGAAGAGGAAAAATCACAGAAATTTTCAAGACTGGACGTTAAGTAGTTTTTCATTTAAAAAATAAAGTATGACAGGAAGTCTGCGACGTCGCAAACCGAGATACGTGGTTTGGTAGTTTCACCGTCGATATTTAACTAAAATTGAAGCGCTGGGTAAAAAAATGGCATATCTTGGTTTCGATGTCTCAGAATCTTTTCTAACGTGACATCCATTGTAATTAAAGCAAATGAATGGAATTCGTTTAAACTTTTACTAAATTTTCATTACCATTTTAAAATGCTGCAAACGAATATTTTCAGAAAATTCACCGAATAGTTTCCTCTCTAAAATATAAATTAGTAGTGGAGATTTTGAGATACCGCAACCAGGAAATGCCCTTTCTGCACCCAACGCCTCAATTAGGCTAGGTGGATCGTGCGTCGCCGATTTTGTGGCGGTTCTTGGAAAACCAAGCAACATAACACCTCAAAACTTTTTGTGAAATTTCTACTTATGGATAATGAAAAATAGCACATAAAATTTCACGGCAAAATAATGCTTAGTTTTCGTGTAAAACTTTAAGGAACGAAAGGTCATTATTAGACGACTAAAGTTGTCATGCTGATTCTGGTTGATGACTTTTTTCAAAATGCAATTTCTCAAATCCTGGTTCGATGCTTTCACTAGACTCTGCTAAAAATCCTTTCACAAAACGCCTCAAACCCGACAAATTAATATCTGCCAGCCTCTTTCCGTTCTTCTGTTTCAGATACCCACTGCAACTTTGCTGACACTGGTTCTAGTCGCTCCAGAGATCTCCGGTCAAATGTTCCCATTCTCGAACCTATGGCACTACTTCAACGGTAACACGAAGCTCACTGGGGGCGGCGGGGGAGGGGGAGGAGGGGGCGCCTCGACGGGGGGTGGGTTCCGGGGTATTTTGGGCGGCCATAAAACCAACGACAACAGCACGAGCCACCGACCCTCGTCGAAGAACACATCTGAGAGCGCGAGATCCACCACCGAGTCAACTACGCTTCCCTCGACCAGTCCAATCGCCACCGTGGCCATCTTACCAACCCTCCCAGTCACCGACTTCGTCGACACGACGCATAGAAGAGACACGCTCTTCACCTTCTTCCCGACGGAGCGAGTGACGAGGCCTTCCCTAGTCCAAGATCATTTCGCGGTGACGGATGAAAGCCCCGAGCATCGATACCAGTTTCCCGCCGAGAAGCGCCACGACTACGAGCCGGAGAAAAGTCCATCGAGTGATTACAACGCCTACGTCGATGCCGACGAAGACTACCCCGCGGAGACACCACCCCCGAACGGCGGCGGCTTCACGCGGCGCAGCTACCAGACGCGAGAGCCCAACGCCGAAGACGGCTCCACGGAGGTGTACACCACCCCCGGACACGTGACCCGCGCGTCCTTCGGGGATGAGCCCGCCAGGTATACCAAAGCACCGTTCGGCGATGAGCAGCCTAATACAAGAGCGCCCCACGGAGATAGGCGGCATCAACGCACGAGGGCGCCGTTCGGTGATAGGAATCTGAAACGAACTAGGGCGCCTTTCGGAACGCGCCCACCGTATGAGGATGAGAACATACCACGCACGAGAGGCCCGCCCGATGGAGAGTACACGAGGGCGCCGTTTGGCGAGGAGCATACGAGGGCGCCTTTGGATGATGTGCCGTTCTTCCAGACGAGAGCGCCCTTCGACCGAGCTCCAAATACAAGGGCGCCTTTCGATCGTGCTCCGAATACGAGAGCGCCTTTTGAAGATGACTCCATTTTTAATACCAGAGCGCCCTATGACGATGAGCAAGGTCACAACACGCGGGCGCCTTTTGATGACGAGGGCTTCCACCATACAGAGGCGCCTTTCAACGATGAGCCAGTCCACAACACGAGGGCTCCTTTCGGTAAAAGACCCGTCGAGAATACCAGGGCGCCTTTTGACGATGGACCTCTCCAAAACACGAGGGCGCCTTTCGGTAAAAGGCCCGTTGAAAGCACGAGGGCGCCTTTCGACGATGGACCCCCTCAAAACACGAGGGCGCCTTTCGGGGACAGGCGTGCGGAGAACACGAAGGCGCCCTTCGATTACGCGTGGGAGATCGACCCCGTCCCAGTGGAGGAGATTCCAACCGGGCGAAGGAAACCAAAACCGACCCGGAACCAAAGCCAAAAGCAGAAACCAAAGAAGCAGAAAGACAAGTCCGAGGAGGACAGTGAAGAAGAGATCAGCGATGAGATTTTCGAGCCCTTCAAAAAATCTCAAAAACAAAAAGTGCCCCAAAGAGATAGGCCAAACCCGAAGCAAAAACCGACGGGGGTCCCGAAGTCGAACTCAAAATCGGATTTCGGGGTCTTCGAGCAGCCGCTTTATCTGAGCCCTTACTCTCAACCGCAGAATCCTTTCCAAGTGACGAACGGTCCGCCGAATGAAGGCTATATGCAGATCAAATATGTGAATCCTATATCAACCCCGAACCCTTTTACCTCGACCGCGTACAGCCTCGTGCCCTTCACTCAGGCGCAGGATTTTACACCTGTGAACCCATTCGACGCCACAACGAAGCGCCTCCCCGCCTATGACGCCACGACACCGTTCAAGCTGGACTGGAATTACTTCAACACTCCGGTTCCAGCGAAGCCTCTGGGCGTGTATGATCCCCATCAGTCCTACACTCAACAGCCTTTCCAAGTTCCTGTCCCGCAGAGTAACCCCTCTTTCGGCCACCATCATCCCTTAAACCCTCCGAATTCCAACGTCGAGTCGATTTACCAGCCAGAGAACCCGCCCTTCCCGTCCCCCACCNCACCCCCATCGCGAGTCCTAGCTACGATCCGCCCTCTTTACTCCACCCCCGCACCCCCCGTCGCATTGACCACAACTACCCCTCCCCATGCCGACTACCCCGTTACCCATGTCATCAAGTACAGTAAAGAGTCCCCATTCCACTTCCCGTTCCTCGATGCAGAGGAACCGATTATCGAATCCCTTCCTGCGATATCCTTCGCGCTGAACGAGCATAAAAGGGCGCAGCATTTGGAGAAGGATGACGTGGTAGATTATTTGACCCCTCCGAGACTGGAATTGCCTCCGCCGAAGTCCCCGAAGTCCAAACAGAAGAAGAAGAAACTACCATCGCGAAGGAATAAGAATTATAAATCATTGAACGACCCGGAGGGTAGAAATGTTGCAGAGAAAGTAAGGACTCCACCTCAGTTCGGGGACTATGGAGGGGAGAATTTGGATGCAATTGTGCCGTTAGCATGGGGGCAGGACCCCCCAAACGAGGAGGAAGAAGAAGAGGGAGGACGATCCGAGGAAAAAGCCAACGATGAAAGAGGATCGAACGAGGAGTATGATGACTGCGGAGAGAACTGCGATTACAACGAAGCTGAGGACGGAGGGGATGAAGGAAACGGTGAAGGAGAAGAAGAAGAGGAGGGGGATGGAGAGGAAGAAGAAAAGGAGGAGAAACCAAAGAAGGGCTTAAAGAAAGGTGGGGGAAAATCTAAGCCCGAATTCGATTTTTCAAAGTTCTTCCCGCGAGGGAAGAAAGAGGAGGAAGGGGAGGAAGAAGGTGACGGCGAGGAGGAGGAGATCGAAGAGACGGTGAAGAATCAGAAGTACCACAACCCGGACGAACATAAAAAAGATTCGCACAAAGATTACAGCTCGGAGAAGGGAAGTAATAGGAATTCAGGCAAAAATCATAAGAACTCGCACAAAGATTACAGCTCGGAGAGAGAGTATAGGAATTCGGAGAAGGATCACAAAAGTTCTGAAAAAAATGAAAGTTTCGAGAAGGACCTCAAATCGCCGATCAAGAAAACTTTCGCCGACTCGGACTCCCGGGAGAATTTCATTCATAACGATTCAGAGAAGCGGGCTCAGCTGCGGACGAGACGGCCGGATTCGAGAGGGAATATTTTAGGGGCGACCAGTCCGCGAGGGGAGGTCGCGGGGAGTTCCAATTCGCGGGGGGACTTCTCTGCGGGGGCGAGCCAGGGCAGTCAACGATCGTCGACGGAGGCCGAGAAGAACGGGTCCGTGACGGACACGCGAGTGAAGAAGAGCAATTCAAAGGCCGAACTAGATAATCAAAAGCAAGACTTCTCGCCAGTGCCAAAATTCGCCGATAAGGTAAGTTTTTTATTTTATTTGTCTTTCTGAGGGCTTGGAGGACAAGACGCATAAGTGAAGATTTTTTCATTTCGAGTAATACTGTTTGAAGTTTCGAAATTACATGGATCCTTATGGCGGAAAGAAAGTTCAAACAGACTTTTCGATGCTTAAAAATCGGAATTTAGAAGCGAATTTTTCACAGAATATGCATTAAGACTAGTTTGACTTGAAATCATTAATATCTCAATTTTTTCAAAAACTGCACACGTGCGCCTTGTCCTCCAAGTCCCTCGTTTGTACCATTTTTTTTGGTTTATTTTTTGAGATGGGTGAAAAATAGCGTAACTGCGGTTATGGCGCTTTTTCTTAACGACCATTTTTTGCGAAGGGAAGAGATTCCAGCCGAATTTTGGGGACATTTGAGGGTGGGGCGCAAGGGTCGCGTCGGCCGCATGATCGATTACACATAGATTCTGACAGGGCCGAATTGAGAATGGCGCATATGAGAAGCGGCTATCCGCTGTATCAAGTACCACACAGCCAGGACCATAAAATATGTAGAAAAAGTGGAAAAATGAGGAGAAAAATGCAAGGGAAAATGAAGAGTTACAAAAGTAATGATGAGGTATTGAATTTATGGAGGAGCACGAATAGCAAGATATTCGGAAACTTAGATATCCCGCTGTATCCTTAGAATGAACTACGATGTGTGATTCTATCCACTTGAATTTCGCCTTCAATCTCAGCGCATAGGCAACCAATCAACCTGAGAGTTATCCGTTCAAAAATTTGTCAAGTTGTGACTACTAGATTTTCGCGTAAATCGCTGTGCCCCAGCTCCTGTGGCGCGGCGTGAGTGTTCGATTATCGCTATTTCCCCATTTGAAGCTATGATAAAGAATCGATTAGGTGTTCGTTGTGAACACCCTGCCTTTCGATCCTTTTCCATGGGTTTAAATGACAGCTCAATCGATACATCACAAAGCATGCCACACCACTGCCGAGCCCGGCATTTGACACTAGCGTTAAACCATGCATCCTCAACACGCACGATCCGAAAAACCGCTGCAATCCGCGCCACGTGCCGTGCAGCAGAATTAAATTAGTTTTTTGAGCGCATTTTTCTCCAACTCTTCGTACCAGAGTGGTCAGTTTCGTGGCTGCTCAACGTAGCACTGCGTTTCTTGATCATGCTGTCTTGTCAGATTGCCGAACGGAGCAGTTCTCAGCTCCCTTAATAGAACGTATTTAAAACAAAACCAGCAATTTCTATTCTGAATTGAGCACTGAGATCCATAAGAATACACGCATGACAGGGCGTATATCACAATGGATATAGTTCCTTGTGATTTAAATACGTCCCATTAGGAATGGGCCCGTTGATCAAAAATCCCAGAAATGCTCGGTTAAAAACACGCAGTTGTCTAGGTAAATTTTAAGAACCATTAGCTAAAACATTCGAATATTGCAATGCAATTTTTTTTTTTTTTTTTGCAATTGCAATGCAATTTTGCGATTGATCCTCTTCGGTTTTGACTCCTTCAAATCAAAGACCAAAGTGCGAGACCACGTATCTCCGTGTGTGACGTTGCAGACGTCCTGTCATACTTTAGTTTTTCTTTGGAAAACTTTTCAACGTATTTTCTTGAAAACTTCCTTGATTTGTCTTCGTTGTCGGCAGAATATTTTGTATTCATTTCAAACTAAAGAGTTGACTTGTTTCTCTCCAAAAAAATGAACTAGGAGCAGAAATTTTGTGACACAGCAATGAAGATTCGTGCTTTCTTCAGCCACACTGAAAAAAAAAACACATTGGATCTAGAGTCCAGACTCTTGAAAACATTGACGAGAAAAAAGGACTCTTGATTCAATCGGATTTAAGCTTAAATCAAAAGGAAATCCGCTCAAATTAAGAGGCTTGGTTCATGATTTAAACTTAAATCTGATTGAATCGAGAGTATTTTTTCTTGTCGATGTTTTTAAGAGTCTGGACTCTAGATCCAATGTGTTTTTTTTCCAGTGCATCGAAATGCAACTTGATTCTCAAGCAAGACATTCTTTAGACTAAAATCCAAAAAGTAACAGATGAGCTACAAATAAATGTGATTTTCTAAAATTTTTAATCTCTTTAATAAACGGATATTCAGCAGCCAACGTTTCAAAATTCTATCCCTCTTAAAATTTCGACAACATTTCAGCCGCGTGGTTCGAAAACAATGCATTCCTCGTACGCACACTCCAACGACTTGAGCTGCCCCACGTCTGCGTAACGCTATCGATAGTCATAAACAATAAAATCATGATCACTGATTTTTCACCGGACCACTACTGCCCGCGAGTACGGTTTCCCAACGACTCTGCGACATGACACCATTTTCGTAAAAATAGATACTGTTTATGAACTATCAACAAAAGGAGGACTTTTTGCGCCACGCAGCGTCGTAAATCAATCGCTGTTTCGTCTGATGAAGTCTCCAGTCAGTGAGGCATGAGAGAGTTATGTAGCACTGTGATTTTTTAAAATGGAAATTTATATTTGTCGATAGTAAAAATACAAAATGCACATATTTCACGGAAGCGTCCCACGTGACCAGTTTTGGAGGCCAAAATCAGTGAATATTTGTGATCCAGTTATATTTAAAAAAAATTATAAAGAAAGCATCAGTCTAATGATAAGAATCTGAAGATACAATTTGTAGTGCCCGGATGGAGGAACGTAACTGCATTCCAAGGTTGCAAAATTGACGCGAGCAATTCAATTTTTCACGAAAATGAACCTGTGCAATTTTTGTTCCAAATTTGACTAATTTTTGCATGAGATCAGAAGATAACTCGGCGAAATCTTCAGTAAAAAATACTCATTATTTTCATGGTAAAAATACAATCTTCGAAGGGAAATTTGGCAATGATTACATGTGGTCACGTTCTTTTTCCCAGGAATTGACGAATTACGAGGGAGAATAATTCACTGTTAATTACAGCAAATAAACTTTTTTTTGTTTAGGGGGCTGTCCATAAATTACGTAACTTACTTTTCCGGCATTTTTGATTCCCTCCCCCTCTTCAAATGCTTTTGTGAAGTTAGACTTTTTCACACGTAAAAACAAAATGGCGAAGATTTTTCCTCGACCCCCTCCCCCCTAAAGCGTTACGTAATTTATGGACGGCCCCTAATTTCAGAATGGACAACTAGGCAAGGTACGAATCTCAGCATTCTGATACATATATCTTTATCAAAATTGCACGTAAAACACGATACGCACAACGAAAATTACCAAAATCAACTCCTGACGAAGATATTTAATGATTTTTGATGCGTGAATTCAAACCACCCGCTCATGAAAACTCAATGCTCTACGTGATTCACATCGCGCGCTAAATGTTTATCATGACAGTCTCTGCGATGTAAAAATCCTCAACTTCAATCTTGACTATTTGGCTCAGCTATAGCAAATTACTAATAGTTTGAACAACACATGGTGGAAAATGAACATTGCTCGATTGAGAAGCTTGCTGAAACCGTTGTAGTGGGCGATTTGACTCACGTAGAGCTTTGAGTTTCTTGTGAGCGGGCAGTTCAAATTCCTCGTAACCAATGTGAAATAAAAACGTTAATATCTTCGTTAGGAGTTGATTTCGGTAATTTTCGTAGTGTGAATCGGGTTCTACGTGAAATTCTGGTTAAGAAAATGTATCAGAATGCTTAAATTCGTACCTTGTCTAGTGGTCCATTGTCAAAAAAATCCTGTAAAAAAACCGTTAAACGTGTATCTACCTAGTTTTATGTAGTGAATTTCTGTTGACAATTTGCATTTTAGCATGTGTCATGACAGGCATTTGTGTCAATGTGTCATTGCCCACGTGAACCTAATGACCTTTTTTTTTGTGCGTGCAGAGCGACTTCGACTCCGGTTATTCCGACGATGAGGACTCAGATGGAGAAGGTGAGGGAGGAGGTGAAGACACTGGCCACACGGGGAACGAGAAGGAGGAAGGAGGGGACAGGGTCGAGTTCCAGATGCACGGACAGTCGGGTCCAGACTCCTACAAATTCGGATTCGATACCGGCAAAGGGTGAGATTCCGTAGAGTATAATAGCTTATATCATCACCTTCCGACCGAAGTATCACAAGCGCCATGCGACGTTTTTTCCGCCGCTATTTTATTTTTTTACCAGTAGCCATGGTCACATTAACAATGGCCAGAATAAATTCACTGCTAGAAATGGATATAAAAAAACTAGTAGCTTTATCTACTTTAAGCCAAATTAGAATTATATTTATCTCTATCTCCACAAATTTATATTCATTGGCTTTTTTTCATATAATTATACATGCAACTTTTAAAGCCCTTATTTTTCTATGTAGAAGGACTTACATTTCTACTAGGAATACACAAGATCTACGAAAAATATATTCAACCAGAATTAATCTTTTAGTGACAAATGTCGCTTTTAATGTAGCAAGCATGGTTCTTTGTGCTCTGCCCTTTATATCAAGATTTGATTCAAAAGAAATCATTATAGAAATGATTATAATTACCCCATTAAACAAAGTTCTCACTTTAACGAAGCTCTCGAAGCTCTCCGTTCAACGAAGCTGTCGGAAAATTTCACTGAATTTTATCGGTAGCACTCAAAAAAGTCAGTGAAATTTTCGGACAGCTTTGTTGAACAATTTCTCTGCAAAAAAATTAAATGGCAACGAAAATTTTTAAATGCCGTATTGCGCTTATGATCTTTTGACCGAAAGGTGACGATATGTCACGATTCACGAGACAAGGGGGATCTCATAGTCTTACAGATATTCAACATTGCGGTATACTACTACTCAAAGAATTCAATGGAATAACGTCTCTTGGATCCAGAGTCTAGACTCTTAAACAATTGGACGAGAAAAAATCCTCTTCATCGATCGTGTTTTGGCTTAAATCGAGAGGTAAGCCTCTTACTCTAAGCGGATTTCCTTTCGATTCCACCATTCGGTCGGAAGTCGCATTTCGGCAAAAAAAAGAGATGTTTCATTGAGTTTTGAATTGAAATATAGAGCCGTTAATTTTCTTGCTGCTTTTTCGAACCGTTCGTTTAAGTCTCTGACCCAATGATTTTAGTTTAAGTGCGGGTCGAATTTAATAGAAACGCACCAAGTCGCATTTCTAAAAAAAAAATGAGTAAGGAGTGGATTTGAATTAAACGAAAGCCGTAAATTTACTCGCTATTTTTTTCTGACCGCTCGTTTAAGTCTCTAGCTCAATGGCTCGGATTGAGTGTGAACGCGAGTTTAATGGGAACGCACTAAGTCTCATTTCGAAAAAAAAAGTGAGTTGTTAGTAGTTGTGAATTCAACTAGCCGTAAACTTTCTTCCATCAAAAATTCAAAACCGAAAAAAAAAAAAATACTTTGAACGTGGGAATAATCGTTTAAAGTTGTCTTTAGTATTGATCTTTATGAAGAAATAAAACTTCGAATCTAGTTTCTTTGGTTCAGATTTGATGTGACTTGATGTGTTTCTGTCACACTCGATCCAACCGCTACCCTTGTTCGGATAGTTTACTGGACCTTTTAGGACACCTAGCGACTCTGAAAGACGAGTATTTCCCCAGCGCGAGGGTATAGAAACTGAAAGCGCCTTCAACTGATGGCATCTGCAACACGGACTGTCTCAGAGCTCGAATAGTTGTATCTCCGGATTTGACCTAAGGACCGAGGCTCTCCTCTGAAAATACGATGGGTATATTTTAAAATCACACATGATGAGCAGGAAATGGATGTTTCCACTTGAAATTTTGAGCGCACATACTAATGAGTGAGAAAATCTTGGAAATTTTTATAGTACACTAGATGTAACGATTTTTGTGAGGAGTGAATAAAGGAATCTCCAAAATTTCAGAAAGTCGCAGTTAAATGTCGCAGAAAGGAACCAAGCCATATGGGGCCAAATTTAGTTGGGCAACTTAATTTTTTGGAAGAGATTATTTGTGCCAATCCCTTTGAAAAGTTTTAGGAATTTACTTCGAACTTTGAGGAAAATTCGCTGAATATTCGCTGAAATTTGCGCGAAAATCCAAACAACGGTTTTCATTTAAAAAATCAAATTTCCCGATTAAATTGTGCAGTTGCTGATGTGACTAGCTATCCTTTCGGCTTAAAGCGGTCCAACTGTCCTCAAAAATAATTTTTTTCCGAGAGGCGACAATTCAGCTACATTCTGATGTTCATGCTGCGATTTTTTTAACACGGTAAAGCTGTTGTGAACGTCAAAAAAGGGATCAATAGCAAACTCCAATGCAACTTATCAACCTTATTGCACACTGGAAAAAAACACATTGGATCTAGAGTCCAGACTCTTGAAAACATTGACAAGAAAAAATACTCTTGATTCAATCAGATTTTTGCTTAGATCAAAAGGAAATCCGCTCAAATTAAGAGGCTTGGTTCTTGATTTAGGCTAAAATCCGGTTGAATCAAAAGTATTTTTTCTTGTCGATGTTTTTAAGAGTCAGGACTCTAGATTCAATGTGTTTTTTTTCCAGTGCAAAGTACGCGACAATAACTGCAATAAAAGTTTGCGATGTTTTAAGAAACGCAGCGGAAACACTCGTCCCGTTCGATCAACATTTTCTGTTGAACGAAGAGTGGTCAACCGCACTGAGACGGTCATCTTGCGGTTAAAAAAACAACGTGCCTTACCATTGAAATAGTGCGAGGAGCAAGGAGCGAGGGGAGGTTGAGGGGACTAAGCGGGGGGAAGGGGGGGGGCTCGGCTCCAACTCAGCGCCGCTTGGTCAGACAGCTCTGTTTACACTGTTTATTTAATTTACATACCGCGGTTACGTCTTCGATTGTCTTACAATTAATCGGTGCGGTGCGGCGCTAGTGAAGACCTGCCAACAGTTCGAAAAGTGAAATTGGACTGAGCGTTGAAGAAAGAAAACTCCTCGGAAACTAATCAACCGTGACACGATGCAAACGAGAATAATTCGCTGAGCTTCTGTTCGCCGCCGCTTCAAATGGTGCCCTTCTGTGGCTTCTCGCCGATTTTGGAGAATTTTTTTTTTTCTCTTTTTGAAAAAATTCAGACCGAGTTTATCAGAACGGAACCAACCCACATTTTCGAGAAAATAGAGTTTTGAATGTTTTTGAGTTCCACATGCCGTATATTCTCTCCTGCCAAAAACTTAATGTAAAAAAAAAGAAATTAGTTTGTGGAGAGAGGGGTTGAAGTTTATTTTCTACAATGAGCCGAATGCAATAATAAAATTTCAAACCTATTTTTCTCAGTTTTTACTCAATGTGGGTTAGTTCCATTCTGAGAAACTCGGTCCAGCTGTGCACCTCATTTTCCGAAAAATACAGTGAAACAATAACCTTGATAACCTCAGTCCGAAAGGGAAAATTTTTTTGTGCAGACATTTCTGTCGAGTTAAGTCGGAAAATCAAATTGGATATTTCTACGGAAAACTTATTCTAGCGCGCCACATTATTTTCTTTCATCAATTAAAATGAGAATAATCCATACAGAGTGCGCAAACCTTTCTAAGTCATGAGTTGAAAAACGCTGACTCCTTGAGATTAAACATTGGAGCCTAACACAAAGCGGAGCGGCGGCGCACTGGCGCCTACAAACCTAACAGGGATACTTCACGCATTGCGCAATGCGTGAAGTATCCCTGTTTGGTTTGTAGGCGCCAATGCGCGTTTCGCGCTGGCTGCCCGCCCTCCGCGCCGCACCGCAGCGTACCACGGCGCTTGAAGCAACTATTTCACATCAGAGGTATTGCACAGTATCATACGAAACTGAAGGCGCTCTAATATATTAGGAATGGCAGGCATCCATCAAAAGTACGGAGCTTTCCTCGCAAAATAAATCAAGATACTACGGTCCAAAAACTCACTAAGTCCTAGCATCCGTAATTAGTAACGTTTAGCATACACTATATCGCCAGGCTGTTGCTTAATCGCCATCGGCTATAAGAGGCTATTAGAAATTGTGTTGCCGGCTATAGAAGCTATTGGAAATCTTACAGCCGGCTGCAGGTCAATGGTATTTAGGAACACAGATTCTACTGCTAATTTTTACCAGGGTTTAAGTATATGTATGGACCATGGTCCCTTTTACAGTGGACATTACATTTCGCCGGTGAAACTCTTATACCACGTATCTCGTTTGTGGTGTTTGAAAATTTTCGCTCCTGCTTTGTTTCTTTAAAGGAAAAGAAGTCAACATCATTCCTTGGGGTTGTTTCAGAATTTGTCTCGCACAGAGAAGAATACTCACGGAGGCTTTTAAGCATTGCCGTCGAGCAGTTTCCCATTTTAAAAAAAAATAAAGTATGATAAGGAGTCTAGCACATTGCACACCGAGATGAATGGTTTGGGAGTTCCATCGTCAATTTTCGAGTTGAGTTAAGAAAAAAGTCAAAGAAACAGTAGGTACCCAAATAGCTGCGATTGCGATAACTTGATCGGAGAACGTATCGCGAATTTTTCGACGTCGATCTATTGCAATATTATCGGATAAAATATTGCGAGAATTTGTGATTCCGTCACATAATTTTGCAATAAAATTGCGATTTTATCGACGGCGATTTCTCGAAGTATTATAGAACAAAAAAGCGTGATAAATTAGATAAAAGTTCGATTTCATCGAACGTGATTTTATAGAAATAAAATTGCGACAAGATTGAGGATACTCGCTCAAATGATGATGATCCTAGCGATTTTATCATAAAAAAATCGCAACTTGATTTCAAAATATCGCAGTTTTTCCATTGAAACATGCTGCTTGGGTAGTTACAAATTTCTTCTACACGAATCCCATGCAGCACCATAGTGTCATATGGGGTCTACTATTCTTCATAAAGCTGTCTCCAAAAGTACACAAAGTTTGTCCGTTACCACGTTTGATCGCTTCCAGTAGAATTAATGTGAAGCCATCTCACCAATCAATGAAATAACAATTAGCTCGGACAACGTAATGATAGATTATGCAAACAGAGTGATACTTGGAGCCGGTGGAGGGGAGGAGAGAAAAGGAGGGGAGAGGCGGTCTACGCGCAGAGCAACCACATTTGAGTCTATTTCCTTCCTTCCTTCCTCCCCTCTTTTGTTCCGTTCCCATCTCAACGTGGAGTCAACAAGAGGAAAACTTTTAGCACGGCTGTTGCCACTTTTATTTCCAGCTTATTCAGATCCAAAATTTTCTAGAGAGTGTATTGTAAGGAAACTTCGATTGCCATCGTTTCAGCACAGTAATACAGAAGGCTGATCGTTGAAATTGATAGACAAAGCTATTGACAAAGAAGACAAAGGGGATGTGGAAGGATCCTAATGGTGGAGGTGGGTGGTTGCGATGGAAAAAGGAGGTAAGTATAGACTAACTAACGGCAATCCACGAGAGACCCTGTAGTTAGTCCATCATTTACCTCCTTAGTCTATGAGAACCACCCATTTCAACCAATAGGATTGCTCCACACTCCCTATTCTTCTTTATCTATCGCTTTGTCTATCGATTTCAACAATCAGCCCGCAACTGTCTATAAATAGATAAAAATAAGACAGCGAAAAGAAAGACGGCTGCCCCATATTTATCTCTCTCTCTCTCTCTCTCTCTCTTCCCTTAGAAACGGGTGTTTTTTGCTTGATTGAAAATGTTGACCACCAAATCAAATTAAGTACAAAATATGAAAGACTACGATCCTTTATATTCGCCATTCTATTGCTCTCAGCAAATTGCAATTCAAGTGCGTAAGTACTTGCGATGAATCTGTAACACGTCGATATTTGTTAGGACTGTTACCTAATTCAATGTAAAAAGTACAGTAAAAATGTCGGGATCACCTGATATTTATTTCAATTTTTAATGCAAATTTGTCCAGTCTGATTGCAAAGATTAAGCGTATATTTGTAGGAAAAATGCAACAAGGATGCAATTTTCTTGCAATCAAATTGCAACTTTTCCGTATTAAAATGCAACTTGGGATTATCAGGTATTAAATTTTCTTTCTTTATTTGAAGAATGGTTCGTCAGTGGGTAAGAAGTCAGCGTGCCCGCTCGATTTGACAAACCCGCAATTAAGAGTGCGGTTGTCATAGTTGGACGTATCTCTGCCAAACGGAACTATGCTCAAGACATGAGCCCTGAGACCCATAAGAATAAATGCATATCAGGGCTCACGTCATAATGCACATAGTTCCGTTTGGCAGAATTCCGTTCAGTTGTGGTGCGCAGCGGTGCGACAACGCGCATTTCCGCGTAAGTCTGGCTGATTGTCAAGATGATCAAGTGGCCCACGCGACACTTGTCAACTCATCTTGCAAATCAGCGACTCATTCCTCCCTCCGCCCAAACCCACCCTAACCTATCGAATTTGCAAAAGAAAAAAGAGAAAAACTCTGAATCTTTCGCATCTCTTTAGTCGTATACTGTTTTAAAACGGAGAGTGGTAAATATACGATTGTTCTTTAAGCGGATCCTCTACCATAGGTCAGAGACTTAAACGAGTGGCTAGAAGAACTAGCAAGAAATTTACGGCTCTAGTTCAATTCAAAACCACTCTTAACTCATTTTTTTCCGAAATGCAGCCTCAGTGCGTTTTTATCTAACTCAGTCCATGCTAAACCGGGACCATTGGGCCGGAGACTTAAACGAGTGGTTAGAAAAACTAGCGAGAAATTTACGGCTCTAGTTCAATTCAAAACCATTTCCAATTCATTATTTCCGAAATACAAATTAGTGCGTTTCTATTAAACTTGATCTATACTCAGACTGAACCACTGGGGCAGAGACTTTAACGAGCGGTTAGGAAAAATGGCCATAATCGACTACTCATAACGGAATGTTGAATCATCGTCGTTTCTTCATCAACGGACATCACTAACACCAGCTTAACGAGCGATGTACTTCCTGAATCCTGCAACAATACAATTTTTAAATTTCATGCGACTTTAACCTAAGTTTCCTTTAATTTACTCACTTCACTTTTGTGATTCACGACTCCTCCGTATTATGTACATGAACCAAAAAAATCTGCGAACGAATCATCGAAATGAATACGGGGACTAGTCACTCGCACCAGGCACTCCGAGCCGCCTCGTGTCTGCCTCTCTATTCGGTGACACAGAAACCGTGGCGACTAATTTTCTGGCGTTCGGTGATCGCTTTGCTTTGTTTTATCTCGATCACGATTGCATTTTGGTTCATATAAGAAGTTGTACGGCATAATTATTCTTGAGCTACTCACTAGGAAAAAAAAACACATTGGATCTTGAGTCCAGACTCTTGAAAACATTGACAAGAAAAAATACTCTTGATTCAATGGAATTTTTGCTTGAATCAAAACGAAATCCGCTTAAATTAAGAGGCTGGTTCTTGATTTAAGCTAGATTCTTATTGAATCAAGAGTAGGTACTTTTTCTTGTCGAAGCCTCTTAATTTAAGCGGATTTCGTTTTGATTCAAGCAAAAATCCGATTGAATTAAGAGTATTTTTTCTGGCAATGTTTTCAAGAGTCTGGACTCTAGATCCAATGTGTTTTTTCTTCCAGTGTGGCACCGTCGTGTATTTCTTGCGATAATACAAAGGTTAAAGTATTCACTTAAAACACTAACATCTCCGTGGCAGGCAAGAGGTCCATTGGATGCCCCTGGCTCTGATTCCTGCTTTATCTTTTTCTTTCAGCGAATAAAATATGAATACTATTTGTCCGAGTGATCGGAGTGTTTTGTATAGTATTAGCGAAGGCATAGGACTCTGAAGATAGAAGGGAGGTGGGTAGAGGTAGACATAAGGCGGCAAATTAGATCAAATGGAGCTGCGCAGTGCGCATCCGGCACAAATGAGAGCGCAGCGCTATAGCAAACAGAGTTGTCAGTTATTTCATGCTTGCTATACCCAAGAGCCAAGACATACAGGTTGCGGAATGTTTCGCTCGTTGCCTATCCATTAATTGAAGGGGCTATTCTCTCATTGCAATTTCCTCTGGCAAAAAACAAAAACAATGCAATAATCCATGGGATTAAAAACAGCGTTCCTTCCTGATATCGTCGAAGTATCACAAGCGCCATGCGACGATTCAAATTTTCCGCCGCCAGTTTATTTTTTTACAGAGAAATTGTTCAACAAAGCTGCATGAAAAATTCACTGAATTTTTTTTGTGGTGTCGATAAAATTCAGTGAAATTTTCAATCAGAATCAACCAACGATTTTTCGGTAAAAAATCAAATGAATGCGGAAATTTTGAGACGTCGCATGGCGCTTGTGATACTTTGGCCGGAATTAGACGATATACCTAAGTGACGTGGAACTTATTTAACTGGTCGTTTGAAATCTGCATTTATTCCGAATGATGTACAATATTGCAATTGTATAGAGAACAAATTGGATTGCATTTTTGCAAAAAGGAACAAAGAGCATTCCACTGTCGCTAAGATTGTGCAACTTTTTTTTACCTTGTAAGTATAAACTGATCATCTGAACAAGTTTTATCTTTACTCCCAATAAACTATTAATTCAAGATGAAAATTACCTTGTAAATTCAATTTTTTGCAAGATTTCAGTACTTTTACTGCAAAAAATGTAAGTTGCACAATCCTAGCAACATTGGAATGCTTGTGGTTCCTTTTTGCAAAATTTAATCCAATTGTTCTGTTGATGCAACTTCATTCGAATAATTCTGCTGCTACTTTGAATATTGTGTTAGTAGATTAACCACTTATTTCACTCATTATTACTGTACGTGAGAGAAGCAATCAACCTTTCGATAAGATTAGAGACCAGCCATTAAAATGTAATGTATCCTACTCATCAACATTTTATGCAGAATACTGTAGCGAAATGTCAAACATTTACAAGTTCAATTCATAAGTGAGAAATAAACGGGTTTTGTTTTCGAAAATTTTAAATTTCCTGACTGAGGAAATGAATGAAAGAATAATAGCCGCCGACACGCTAGGAAGTATCCTGTAACAATGAAGGCGTTTCTTATGCGTGCATGGCAGCACCCCATTACTCTATAATCCACGTGCTGCTACACTGATGACTGAGCTTTTAAATGATGCAACTATACGGCCTCTGAGAACACGCTGGGAAGTATCTTTTCGCAATGAAGGCGTTTCTTATGCGTTGCCACTCACTCTCATCTCAAAAAAACTCAATCAACTGAAAATTTTGCTCCTGAGGACTGAAGCCCTACTCTATTAACGACCACATTATGCATTACTTCCCACATTAACTTTGACTTTAATGTTTTTGTTTCAGAGAGAACAGACAGTTCAGATATGAGGAGAAGGAGAATGATGGTACGATTAAAGGACACTATGGATACTATGATCAGCATGGAAAATTGCACGTTGTCAATTATGCAGCACATCCTGAGCATGGCTTTCAGGCAGAACCTGCAACTTGACAAATGACAATGCAACCATTCAATTTTTGAGACCATCAAACTAGAAACCTGCATTTTTAATTTAAGTTATAGATAAATAATTATCTTTATGGCTGTGACAAACAAAACATTTTGTATTTATTTGATAAATTTGTAAAAAAAGAGGACGATGTGTTTTTATTTGACATTAAATATTCGTTGGTGCATATCGATAGCCGAAAGTGGAAACAACGTATCTCCATTGCGATGTTTCAAAATTTCGGCTCCTATTTTATTTTTTTGAAGAGAAAAAAGCCGATTTTATAGCTTGAAATTTACCTGGACATAATATTTGGCCGATAGCAGTATAAAATCAAGGAAATTTTCAAAAAATTACGTTGACTAGTTTTCCAAAGAAAAAATCAAGTATGACAGGAAGTTTGCAATTTCGCAAACAAAGATACGTGGTTTTGCACTTTAACCATCAATATACATGTATTTTGACATTCACAATCAGTCTAAGAAGAACTAATAAGGTTTCTGTAAAGGGCAGGGGAAGCAAATACCTACCTACGTCGCAGTGAAGTGACAAAAGTCACTTGTTCAAAAAAGAACCTTTGTCCTTCCTTACTTTTAAAAATTATTCTAAAGGAGTAATTAGCAGATACCCCTGTTATACTTCGTTCGCACTGAGTTCAAATTGAGTCTAACTGAAAGAGAAGAGTCTTCGAGGGTTGAAATTTAAGTACTAGTTATGCTATCATCAGGGCCGGATATTCCTACTTGCCGCCCATGGGCCGCCTGTATTTTGCCGCCCCCCCTCTCATTCGTTTTGAAACATCAATAAAAACCATCAAGTGAACGTGCCAGCGGGGGAGGGGTGCATGAGACGCGTTTACCTACTCGTGTTGAACACATTTTTTGGGAAAGCCCTATGAACACTACTAGCAAAAGCTCACGGAACTTTGTACGAAAGTTAAGTTTCGTAAACCTATCTCTGTGTGGACAAGGTTTTCCATTCATGAGAAATGAACGAAAAAATTATGAAAGAACAAACATATATGTGGTTTAATGATATAAACTTCCGCCGCCGCCGCGCCGAGCAGACCGCACCGTGTTGGACGCAATGCGTGAAGTATTCATGCATTCTTGTAGGCGCTATCCGTTTCACGCTGACCATGACCACAATAACCGCACTGTGTTTGATGCAATGCGTGAAGTATTCGTGCAGTCTTGTAGGCGCTAATATGTGTTACATGCCGATTGCCGCGCCGAGGGCTTCTCCTTTTCATCTCAAGTCCTCGTCATCATTTCTCCCTAAGTCGCACCGTTCCAGGCCAAATTGTGTGTTTGGTTTCTCTCTTAAGTCGACTAATTAAAGGTGCTGTCTCTTGTATCACCGAAAGACGACAAAATTAGAAATTACTATACTCCCAGGAAATGAGAGATTTTGGAGCCTTTTCTCATTTGTAATTTTTTTTTTCTAGATCCAATTTTTTTTATACCTTCATTTAAAAAAATTGCAAAATTTGCCGCCCCCTAGATCTGCCGCCATGGGCCGCGGCCCATGTGGCCATCCCCTCAATCTGGCCCTGGCTATCATACCTCATCACCAATTTTAATAAAAGATTATTAATGATAGCCTCATCACACGATTTTTCTGCTTTGGATAACATAAATTGAATCAGAGAGATAATGGTTGGCATTCCTATTGGTGTGATGAGCCTAGAAGATACCCTGTAAATACTACTTAGGAATGGCTACAAATTCATGAGTGCCAACACTGACATTATTACTTAATATACCGAAATTCGGATTTTTAGACCACCCCCTCTCAACCTTGGAGTATTTTAAAGACCTACGTCTTTATCCTAAAAACAATAAAATTTTAGTTCGGCGGAATAAGGCACTCCTCAAACCTTTTTCTGCCCCCCACCCCCAGAACGTTACATATTTTTTGAGGGCCCCAAAGTGTTTCACACAACAATTGAAAAACGTAACAAAAATGCCCTCACAGATTTATTCTGGGATTGCTTCTGAGCTACAAATCAAAGTCCTTAGGCAGGAGACTTCATCAACAAGGGAAGTTTTGAAATGAAGTAGTGTTCCATGAAGAACTATAATCAATTGTTGGTTCTTTTGAAATCTCCTTGCAGATGGTGATAGATCGTTCCTGCTTAGTCAGGTTCCATTCAGTTAGCAAAAAAAGGGAAGCTTTCCATTTCTTTTGTTTCTTTCTATTATAAAAGCTATTTCACATACAAACGTTAGTCAGGGATCCAATTGTTAGCAATGATTGTACATGGATTTAAACATCATTAGAAAATTTATTCTGAGCTAGAATTTAAAGAAATGAAGCCAGGACAATATATGAAATTTTGAATTTGACATGATAAATTCACAAACACAGGGTGAGTATAAACAAAATGCATGAGATACTTTTTGAAACATAAATGGAGAAGAAAAATACTACTTTGACTACTATTTCATTTCAGGTATTAAAATGAAAATAATAAAACAAAGATTTTGAAAACAAAGGGGTAGGAATAAACCAAAGAATGCAGGATTGGCGAGCAGTTGAAATGGTACGAAGCCTTAGAAAAAAGCTTGAAAGCTTGTTACAGATTTTTTAAGGTGGAACATAAACCTGCCACTTCTTTAGAACTCAAAAATTACGATGAAAAAAAAAAAAAAGGTAAAAAAGAGATATACTTAATAAGAAAAACGCAGATGCTCGAATCGCTGAAACAATGCTGAGAGAATTCTGTACATTAGTAACTGAAATGTTCAGTTGAGTCAAACTCTTGATTGATTAAGGTTTTGAAGGGCCCACTGTTTGAAGATAACAGATGCAAGATATACGACCTGATGTAAAACAAGCCATCAGGTATGGACAATTTTTTTTAATTTTGTCACTTTATAACACTTGAAATTTTCATAATATATTTCTCTATTCTTCCTTCCTTCCTTTCTAAAAATTAAATTCCTCAAAATAAAAAGGAAAAGGCAGGCTCAGAAAACCATCAGATTTGGTGAGCCACGAGGAGTGGGCAACTTAAGAAAAAATACAAAATTAAATAAACAATTAACAAATGAAATGAAATTAAATAAAAAAAAAAGGGAATCACAAGTCTTATCTATCGTCAATGGCGTCAAAATTCCTCTTGTTCCTGTTAATGGATTCTGATTGACTATAATTGCTCTGCATCTGTTGGGCTTTGTAGATAGGCTCATACTCGATCAACTGAGCGATGAAACCCTCATTTGGGTTGATACAAAATCGCTTCCCTTGTACAAATGAGAAAGCTTGCCTGTAAAGAGAAAAAATTTGACAATTTGAAGTTATTGAACCAGTGGAAAAGAAAGAGAATGTAAAAGCAGCCCGAAACGGAAACGACAATCAAAAACACAGGTAAAAGCGGAAACAAGGTTAAAATACAAAATATAAAGGCAGGACGTTTCGGTACCTTACGGCACCATTATCAACTGCAATTAACGCCGTTTGCTGGTTTTTATTTTAATTTCTTTTTTATTTTTATTTCTTTTTGCAGTTGATAATGGTACCGTAAGGTACCGAAACGTCCTGCCTTTATATTTTGTATTTTAGCCTTGTTTCCGCTTTTTCCTGTGTTTCCGATTGTTATTGAACCATTTGGCAATAAGAGATGATCATTGAAATAAATCAATAGCTAATTTTAGCTTCATTATTACAAAACTATTTGAGCACAGGATTGGGTATTAAGTGTGCTGATACTGATATTGTGACTCAGAAGAAGGAAAGATCACAATCTGATTAAGGTAAAATTTAAAAGAACAATGAGCTGTTTTCGTTCATTTCTTGCAATTTTGAAAAGAAAATACTTTACTTGCTTTGAGGAGCTTTTCCAGGTCAATAATTAACGATATTGATGCACAAAAATTAAGTTCAAAGTTGCACATTTTGAGCCTTTATCTAAAAGCAAATCAACAAGAAAGCTAAGACGGCATCCGAAAATATACTCCCTCCTGCATGTACACTTTATGTCTGATTTCTAAAACCGTTAGGGGACTACACAAGTTTTCACAACAAGTTAAAATTCGTAAAAACACACTCACTTGCTTAAAAATTGTTTTTAAAATAACGGGATGCGTTTCGGGACCTTAGCTCCCATCATGAGTCGCGGCTGATGATGGGAGCTAAGGTTCCAAAACGCGTCCCATTATTTTAAAAACAATGGGCCTGTTGCAAACTTTTGCTAGAGCAAAAATAAGAGTTGTTTCTTATGGATAATGCCTCAAAAATCACGATGAGCGCATCGGCAAAGTCTGAAATGCACTCATAACTTCACAATCTGCGTCAGAAATTTGCGTTTTTTTAAGCTTCCCGCTTCAAAAACGATACTACGGCATAGGTGAACATTTTGTTAGAGGAGTCGCTCCATCGTCGGCGATATTCATCATGGCCGACGCTTGCACGCAGTTCCGCGCGTAATTCAAGGAGAGTTCAAGGTCAATCAATTCGGGCGTGGAAAATATGAACGTTAACACACCGATTGTTATCTGGTCTAATCCAGTTCAGGTGTTATCTCGTCCCATCAAACGTGTTTTGGCGGATTGGCGTCGGCTATGATGATTATTGCCGACAATGGAACGACTCCTCTTACAAAATGTTCACCTGTGCCGTAGTATCGTTTTTGAAGCGGGAAGCTCAAAAAACCGCAAATTTCTTACGCAGTTTGTGAAGTTATGAGTGCATTTCAGAGTTTGCCGATGCGCTCATCGTGATTTTTGAGGCATTATCTATAAGAAACAACTCTTAGTTTTGCTCTAGCAAAAGTTTGCAACAGGCCCATTTTTAAGCGAGTGAGTGTGTTTTTACCAATTTTAAATTGTTGTGAATTTTATGTCTGATACCTGAAAAATGAAAAATAGTAGATAGTCTGTACTTCATTTTGAAAATACTTACGAAAAAGTCAAACCATACTGGCCCATGATGTAGCCTAGGACAAGAGCTGCACTGCGTGATATGCCTGCATTGCCGTGCACCAGAACTTTGCCTCCTAATTCTAAAGCATTATTTATGAAGTCTCTCACAGTTGAAAAATGTTGGATGATGCTCTCCGTGGGGCTATCGGCAATACTTAAAACTAGGTACCTAGTCAAGGCAGAAAAAAAAGAAAATTGAGATTGATACTTGGATTAAAGAATAATATTAGGTCACTTTCAAAAAGCGTTGGAAGGATAGGGTTGAGAAATGCAGAAACATTTTCAGCATTTAAAATATTTTCTCTAAAAATGGGTCATTGGTGGAAGAATCGTACAGAGTGGAAATTAGAGAGTAAATTGCTCAACTGAAGCTTGATTGAAAAATGCTCATGATTCTGTGATGCTATTGCCTGGCAGTCCGGGTAGCACAATGAAATGAGTGAGAGAGTTAGTATTTTTTGTTCCTTTTTCAGTACATTAGCCTTCCAAGGGGGGCTTGGTGAGAGTCAGTGTACCACCCCACCTTCACCTTCTAGATGGGTATGGAGTTACAAATGATTTGGAGACTGAATCACCAATTTGTACAACTCCTTTTTTAAGTATTTGAGTTCGGAAGAGTGACAATCCTTTTCCTATCATTGGAGTGAATTTATTTCCCAAAAATCAATGAATTTCATTTGGTGGATAGATCTCTTGCAATTATTTAATATTTATTTACTTAGGTATTGATAGTAAGAAAAAGCACCGGCTTACATTTTTTCTGGGATACATAGAGACCTGGCACTTGGAGCGGACCTGCTGAGTCTCTGGAAAATTGAATTCTGTGGCAAACTAGTGACACCTCGGTGCAGATCTTTGGTGATTGCTTTAAGTAAAACTTAAAACACTAAAGGACTGTAGGTATAGAATTAAAAAGTGCCTTACTTACCTAAAGTATTGAGGAAAATGTGGACGAATAACTTTGGCTTCGATATTCTGTCGCACGCAAACAATGTGGGTAATTCCATGTTTCTGGAGAACTTCTAATCTTGAGCTGATCGCAGAAGAATAGGGCCCCAGATAAACCCCAGGAACAATTTCTTGCATCTCCCGCCTCATGATGTAGGTCCACTCAAGGTTTCCAGCATTCATGTTTGGAAGATTTGGAAATCCGTTGCTGCTGCTGTCTGTTTCCATTTGCTGAAAATGTAAAGACATCCATCAAATTTTATTTCTATCTTTGACATTGGTGGTTATTGTGAGCTATAATGTCAATGGGTGGATTCCTTGCCATTTTCAATAAAATCTGGTGACAACACTGATACAGCCCTTTTTAAGAGTACCGATGAGAATAAATCAATATAAATCCTTCTCACTATAGCATTTATGATGTAGAATAGTATGAAATGGAATTATAATGATTAGATATAACTTGCACAATATAAGTTTGCGAATGCTTCCTTCTTGCGTACTGCTGCGCTCCTTATCACTAACATACGATTGTATGATTGTACGAGCAATAAGAGTACCATGTGCGGCCACTTCAATTGGACATATGACAGTCGAAATGGAATTCCTGCATACTTATCTCACAAAAGGTATGCTTAGTTACTTGTTGAGTTCGACAAGATGACAGCTGAACATGTCTGACCACACATGATGGCAAAAATTATGATAAGTTACACTCATGTTGAGATCCGCTACAATTGTTAGATTTGATATCCTCTCTAACACCGTGAGGACAGCTTATCACTTTGATTCTGGAAAAGTGATCAACTGTTAAATTAGATGAATACAAGATTGAAACTAAGTTGAACAAAGCACTAACATAGAACATCATAAAAGCGAAATGTAGCACATAGAGGATTTCACCGACAAATTTGAGACCAGCATTATGTGTTGATGCACTATAATTAGGCGTAGATCTGATGAACAGGATTCTAAGGGAGATTTGGATACATTAATGATAATTAAGGAAGGACAAAGAGGCCCCAAAAATTTGTCGCACTGAGCGAGGAAAAGCAAGGCATTATCGCTGATGTTCTGGGGGGAAATTCGAAGGTATGTTGTTCCATAATGTTGAGTGAGACTAAAATTTTGAAAAAAAGTTATTGAAGTACCTAGAGACTTACCCACATTCCATAATCATTCATGGCTGAAACTGAAACCATTACTTCACTCGGATAGATTCAGTCTGTGAGGAGAGGATTCACAATATGAATTTAAGTATCGCATGAAGTTAGTACCTGAGTCTATTCTAAAGTTCACAAAGACACATGATACTCAAAATATTATAAAATTACAAAATTTTAAAAACAAAAACCCTAAATGGAGATAAAAGTCATACTGCATGAAATTTGTAGGTTTAGGTTTGTTATGCATGCACTTTGGGGTGTTATCAAATGGTTACATTCCATGTTCCTCCATCTGGAACTAGGACAAAGAAATTTCTTCCCCCTCTCTTTTTCTTTTCTATTTTTTGAGCATTTTGATTTGTTAACTTTCGCTTCGGCTGCCAAAAATTCCCTGTTGTAATGGAGTATGTGATGATTTGCCTACAATTCCTTGTCGAAATCCACAGCCATTAGTGCAGTGCAAGCGCCAGTACACCGCGCGTTATCTTCTTTCTCTCTCTTTCTAGTTTTGTGTCCTAATGCCAGTCATTCACAAGCATTCTTTTTTAGGAAATTTAAACATTCCATCTCTCTCTGTTTTTGCCCGAAGAGTCCATTTCATTTGACCAGTTGTTCGAATGTTTGAAGCTGCTGAAGGCTGAAATGATATTCGTAAAAATGGTCGAGAGACTATTTACTTTGAACTTATTTGAAGTGTAGTGACTTTGTGTTGTCTTAAAAATGTGATAGCAAGTTAATTGCCGTGTGTAGCTTTATTTTTCAAGGAATTCGTACAAGTAAGTTGGCGTGGATTTCCAGAATTCATTATTACCCATCTGTACTTTTCCACTCACCACTTTCGGCTCTCATGAGACCTAGAGGTTATGCATTATTTATTGTCAATTCACATCAATCCTCCTTGATATTCCAGGCTATTCCACCTTTCCAGTTCTGAATATTCTCTCACTAGTATCTATTATCCAGCAAACCATCAGACTTGTGCACAAGTATTTACCTTCCCTTCAACTTTGACTCTAGTAATGGATTGGTAGAATGAGCCCTCAGGGAGATCTCATTGCGTCAAAGCTTATGCTATTAGTCATTCAATAATCCATTGTCGATACTTTGTATATCACTTCTTCAATGACTATTTTATCTACTCCTGTAATTCACTATCGCTTGTAACTTCTCTCATGCTACAGTAATTATATCTAGTAGAGTGTTCTTTTGACAGCCTATTTAATGGTTGCAACTCATCCAAGTTACTTGGTATGGTCTCATCTAGTGTTTTACCTTTCTTTATCGGCCAGATCGTGAGTATCAGTTGAAATATTGGTGTGAAAAGCATTGTGAGGTCCTACTGTTTACTCCGAACCATGAGAATTGATATTGATTACCAACGGTCATTGAGTTCTTTATGCCAAGTCAATATGGTGTCATGATGAGTTTCCGCGAAATTTGTAATTTGCAACTAGTATCGCTCTAAATCTAATGTTTCAAGGAGAGCACTTTTGGTAATTATTCACTGGAGTATTTGCACTGGAATTAATATTAACCTTCAATACGCAAGTATTGGAACCCTAAAACATCGGTTACAATCTCAGCATCAGGTACTGGTAACAGAGATAGTGTGGATTGGTTTATAAAGAAATGAAAGTTGAAATGTACCAGGTAATAGAGTTGATTTTCAACAAATAGATTTTGACAAACTAACGAAGATTTACACGTCCTTGGTACACGCGTTTGTCAAAATCTTCTCTGTCCATTTTCAATTCATTTTGGTAATAAAGTGTCAAAGACTACTTAAAAACACGTCTCAGGCTGACTCCACTAGGTATATGAGCTGTCTCTGCTAATACAAATGAGCATTGAGCCTCCATAAACATTTTCATGCCATTTTTTAAGTGCCAGAAACCCCAAAAAAAAAGAGAAACAACCCTTTTTATGGAAAAATTTTTTCTCTAATTTCCCGGATGCTCTCACACCATGTGCGAGCTGGGGCTCTGTTGCTTGAGCATTTTCTCTACCCGAGCGCATCATTACCCACAATCCTACTTTTTACATGCCTCTGCTGTCGTTCATCAGTCATGGTTTTATCCATTTTTTATTCACAGGATAAACAGAATAAAATGGCCGCAAGCACAGCAGCAGATCACTTCTGTCTGCGATGGAACAACTATCAGATAAATATGGTATCTGAATTGGACTCTTTGAGGAAAGATGAAGACTTGGTTGATGTAACATTATCTTGCGAAGGACAGTTGTTAAAAGCACATAAAGTTATTTTATCTGCTTGTAGTTCATATTTTAGGAATGTTTTCAAGGTACGATTCATGCTTTTTTTCCTTTTTAAGAAAAATTCTTATTTTTATTGGATATCTGTATCCGCTCAGGTCATCAAACCAGGATGAAATAAATTCCTACCTCTCCCTGTTTTGAATTGGCCCTCCTGTCATGAAAATTCTTAATTTTAGGTATCAAATTTGTTCAAGTGTTCAATACGCCCTCCACCTCTCGCTCTTCTCAGTCGTTAACGCAAACTAGTCAATCCAAACCCTTTTTTCAAAATTCTCTTTTGCAGTCTTATCTATTTTTATGTGTGACTGATGGGTCAATAAGTATATCCGCAACGTAAAACTGCAGAATTGCATATCTCGGTTCGCAGCCTTGCAAACTTCAAGTCATACCTACTTTACTTTCTTGAAAGAAAATTACTTAATGTCATTTCTTGAAAACTTTGGCGATTTATTTCTCCTGAGTCAAGAATATTCCTTGACAGTTTCCAGCTATGATGTTGGTCTGGACTCATTTGAAAAAGTAAAATACGAGCGAAAATTATGAATCCCTGATTTTGAGAAAATCAGTTTTACTGTAGATATGCACTCATGCCCCCCAACATTGAAATAAATCAGTTTAAATCCAAGTCAAGTGACACCAAATTGTCTTCAACCCACCTTGAAGGAGTGTGTCCAAAGCTGCCTGCAAAATGTACTTCACTGCTGTAATTGCCAGTATTGTATTAGCATAGGCAACACTTGTCTATTATTTGGGACAGTAAATATGTGCAGTAACTATATGAGGACTTATCTGTAACAATGGCTGATGTGAAAAATTACCTTTTCGAAACACATTAAAAAAACTATTTCGGCATCGAGAAAATTTTGAGAAAATACTTGAGATTTGATCTTCGAGATCTGTCCATTATGCCAGAGCCACACAAATTACATTTTTGTGTGAACAAAACAGTTTTTCAAGCGTGTTTCGAAAAGGTAATTTTTCACATCCGCCATTGTTACAGATAAGTACTCATGTGCAGCTTGTGTGGCCACATTACAGTGAAATTTAATAGGGAAGCTCATGAGCTTCATAACAGTTCAGTGATCTGCAAAAGGTTTTGATATCAAGGTTGGTGCCAGCAGTAATTTTTTTAGTAAAATATTTTCTTTTTTCTCAGTGTGAAAATGCGAAAAATACAAGGCCTGGAACCTCGTGCTGCATAAAATACAGCCACAGGGCTTAGATTTTTTTATTTTATCATCAGTGATTTTTCTCCCGCTTCATTTTACAAAAGTGAAATTTCCCCTTTCCAAGTTGTCTGAAAATTCTTTGTTGTAACAATGACTTTTTCTTTCCAGGAAAATCCCTGTAAGCATCCTGTAGTAATTTTGAAAGATGTAAGTCATGAGGATGTGGAAGCTCTTCTTAGTTTTGTTTACCAAGGTGTTGTGTACATCTCGGAGAAAAAATTAGCGTCATTTTTACATACAGCAGAATTGCTCCAAATTCGAGGGCTAACTGGTGCTGCGTCAACAATGAAGGCTGATATGGTAAGTGCAATCAAATGAAAGTTTTCTCCAACATAGTGAATATAAGCAAAATGGCAATGGAACTACTGCCCAATTCTTTTCTATTCATTTTTGGGAAGTACGTAAAAAATAAGAATGGGTGCTTAAGTTTTTCTGTCCTTTATTGAATAAAATTTCAGGGGAGAAAATAGCTTTCAATGAAGCCAATAATTCAACCCCTTCTCAAATGGAAAAATATTGCACCAACATGTCTTATGATGTCCCATGAAGAATTGAATGCTGGGGATCCTTTTGATTAAGTTTGGTCATTCACTTTATGATTATTATTAGAGTGATAGATAAAGTGAGCTTGGAATGTCAACAAAAAAAATTGTGGACTTACATCTCTCTAAACCATGAAAAAAACTTTTCCCTATACAGTACGTTTACTTTCAATCAAACATGAAATTTAGATCTTAAAGATCTGATGAGAGTTTTGTGAAAATAGGTGGATTCTGGGGTAGCGAGTAGAGTAGAGTAGTAGTATTTATATGATGTCTGAAGTTCCAAGCCTATGAGAATTTTGATTTTTATTCCTACGACTTCAAGTCTCTTTTTTAGTCCTTTCTTTACTTTTTCAAGTCCAGCAACGCATTTCTTGTCAAAATTCACCGAAGAATCAACCACTGTCAGCAATCCCTTAACCATGCATCAGGGACGCTGATAGTCCCAAGCCTCCCCCCTAATTCAATCAACCTTCCCCTAATTTTGATCAAAATTCATAATTGCTTCCCCCCAAAGGTTTTTAAAGAAACTCTTTTAAGTACCCAAAAAATTGGATTTTTCCCCCACTAAAATACGTACCGAATTTTCCACAGGGTTTCCTCATTTTGTTATAATGCTATGGAGGTAATGGAGGTCCCCCTGATTTTTCCCCATTCCTGTCGAGGTTCCACCATTTCCTGCGATCGGAACACAACCAGGCTAGTCGTGTGGCAGGGAATTTTTTGCGCCTTAGTCATAGAATAGCCCAATTATTTTTTTATTTAAATTGTATCTTTCCCTTTAACTTATTTAACTTAAAGAGCCTCGCCAAAAAGTGGTGTTTTTTAGCCCCTTTTTTTATACCCGAGTTGGTCAACCGGACAGCGCTCAAATGAAAGCCTATGGTAAGGCAAACTTCCATGCAAAGTTTCAACTTGAAGTGACCCCTGGTTTAGGCTGTACAGCGTTGCCAATTTTCCAGTTTCATGTGCTAAAATCAAGGATATTGGACTATTAGTCCAGTGCATAAGTAGACTATTATACCCAAGTTGGTCAACGGGACAGGGCTCAAACGAAAGCTTATGGTAAGGCAAACTTCCAGGAAAAGTTTCAACTTGAAGTGAAACCTCGTTTAGGCT